AATTCTTGCTCTGTGTGCTCATAGAAACTAAACTGAGGCCTTGTCTGGCTGCATGTTTCAAGTCTGGACTGTTGTTAGTGGGACTATCCCTTACAGTTCCAGTCCTGTATGTTCAGGGTTGGAGACTTGGCCAGTTGCAGCCTGTCTGGCATGTTCTTTCTGTCTTGAATAAGTATAAAAAATGGAGAGGGAAGGTTTTTCTCAGAAATGTTTTTGGGGATGCAAAAGTTAAATATTAACTATTTTCCTTGGGTCCCCTTTTGCCCCTAAATGATAAGCCTGTTTCTAAAGGAAGGGCTGTGGTGCTTTCCTGATGCTTTAGATCAAATCTTCTCCTTTTTATTACCATAAAATCCATTTCTTCTTGTTGCTCTCCTGTGCTGTATCTTTCTCAGAGTCACTTAACATGTCTTCTGAACTTTCAGTGGCAACTATAGTTGATGTTTATACCGTGGAACAGCTGAAAGAAAAAGCTTTACAGAGTGATGGGAAACCTGACCCAGTCTATGGCATTATTTATGGCTACATTTCTACACTGGACATTGATGAGAATGCATCTAAAGTTATTCGCAACAGATGGTAAACAACTGACTTCAGATTTGTACCAAAAAGTGGGGGTTGGCTTTCTGAAGGACTTGCTTTTCCTGCTTCTCTCTGGAGAGCAGAATTAAAAAGGCCATTTTGTCTCAGACAGACTTAAGAGTTTAGAAGATGAAGATGTTTTTTAAAGACAAAAAAGGCCTCTTGGGAAATCTCAGCCTAGAAAAGAGTTTCCAAGAGGGAGGAACTGCATCTATGTGTTAATTATCTTCTTATGTTCCAGCTCAGTGTGCCGTTTTATAGTGAATGAAGTCTCAAACACATGCACTTTCTGCAGTGACATCTCTTTGGATTCAAAGTCAACTTTTGCAAGCTTTGACATACTTGTAGATCTGACAGATCACACAGGCACCCTTTACTCCTGTTACCTGTCTGACTGTGTTGCTGAGGAAACGTTGGGCTGCACGGCAAGTGGAAATGAACTGGGTGGTGATTTAAGCTGAGCTGTGAAGCCTGAGGAAAATGAAAAATAGATGTAAATGTTCTTCACATACGTGTGTGTACAGTGATTAAAAATTGTGTGTACATAGAGATACACACAGCCTTTTAATAAGTCAGAAATTAGAAGTCAGTAGCTGCTAATAAGAAGAAAGGTGTTGAATGCAAGTGAATACCCTCTTCAGAATACTGCTTCATTTTAATTAACACTTCTGAGACCATAATTGGAACTCCCTAACTTTGATTTTCAAACACCCTGCAATTTATTCTGACTAATCCAACTGTCTTGGTACACATATCACACCAAACACTGCATTAAAACAGTAAAAATACAGCTTAGAAATATATAAAAATATAGAAGATGCTCTTTTCCTCATCATGTTGTTGTGGAGATGTTATAACCATATGCTGAAGAAGTGATGTCATTAACAGGTCACTGAATTCCTCAGTTTAGGAGAAGACAAGAAGACTGCATTGAAATGGCAGCTTCTTCTGGAACGAAGCAAGATTTATTTCAAGGTTAGTGTTTAACATGAATTTAAACCAGTGGCTGTTTCCCCTTCAGCAGCATAGTCAGTACTCAAAAATTCCACATCAATTCTGCTGAGCTTTAAAAAATAAGGATTGAGTTTTGTACCTATTCTCAATATTCCAAGTAAATAATCTTTGCTGCAATTTCAGCACAGGGCCAGATAGATGCAGGGCTCTTTCAGGCAAACTATGAAAGCCTCAAACTCCCCTTCAGCCAACACTGATTAAGGAGCTGATATTTCCAAAAGACATACATGTGATTTACTCAGTCACTGACTTCTGTGGCTGTAGGTTTATAATGAATAAAGTTAAAAACTACCTTTTTGCAAGAATAAGTCCTAATCAATGTATGTAGTAGATTGTATGGTATGTGGGGTTATCTAAGTGTATTTCTCAGCTGAGTATTTTTGGAAATAATGTGATTCAGTACACCTAAAACCTGCAATTCTTAAAGCAACAATGATATTAGATTCCCACACCCAGAAAAATTGTTAAAAGATCTGCTATTATTTGCATTATCCTTCACCTTTTTAATTGTGTGCTGTGTATTGGACTGGATTCCTTTCATAGAATCCTTTAGAAAAGACCTCTAAGATGGAGTCCAGCCATAAACCTAACTCTACCAAGCCCACTGCTAAATCATGTCCCTGAGAACCATTTCTCCTAGAACTGCCTGTTCCAGGATAACCCTAAACAGAACCTTGTTTTTAATGTAGCAAAATGCTTCTTACTCTCCCATCTCCCCCACCCTCTGCCCCTACTTCCAAGAAACAAAATGAAAGTGTTTTACTTCAGAAGTGGCAGGTATAGAGGTAAAATGTCTGTACTCATACATAAAACAATGTAAAATACATATAAACCAATCAATTAAACATGCTGTGTGGGGTTTGAAAGTGCTATACAGCAGGAAAAACAGACTATTAATTGTTTTTACAGGTCACTCTGTCACCCAGCTGGAGAACTGGACTGAAAGTGAATGTTCTTTCTTGCAAACTGGCAGACCCAAGAGAGGCGAGTCAGAGCTTGTTGGGAAAAGAGGCTGGAAATAAGGGATTACACTATTAATTACAGCTAGGAAAAAGACTTTCTGCACTCTGTGATTAAAGGTGGAATGCTGCTGCTGTTGTTTGGCCAAGTATGTTCTGATGGTGAAGAAAGGAATATGTGTTACTGACCCTTCAGTGTTGGTCTTCTTTCAGGTGGCTGGAGTTTAAAAAGTGTAACAGGCTTCAGAAAAGTTAGTTCTCCTGAATTCAACCCCTTACAAGGGGGATGGAAACCTTCTTCCCTCAGTTTAGAATATATTTGAAATAATCAGAAATAACCAGCACAAGAGAGATCTGTGGAGTTTCTATGTTGTTAACAGCCTCGCTGCTTCCTTGCTGCTTTGGTGTTTGAAAAATAAAGACACCCTTTGAAATACTGCCTGGGTTTGTGGTGCACGCTGTGAGCTCAAACACATTTGGAAATTTGGGAAGGGCAGAGCCTTGGCAATGACTGGGATGTTTGCCAGGCTGCTTTCTCTGTGTGTGGACTGAGTCTTATTAAATTGGGGTAATCAATTATCCTCTAAGACTATAGGTGGCAGAGAAGAAAGGACTTCTCTTCACCAGGTTAGATGGTCCTAGATGAACATAAAGAGCCCAGGTATGTACATTTTGCCCTTCTCCATGTTCTTTTTCCTATTTTTTTCATCTATTTCTGTCCTCAGCTTCCCCTGCCCCTCGTTATTTGCTACACTCACCAGTCCTCAACTTCTGAGCATACTGGGAGTTGGCCTGTTTCAAATGCTGGGAAGATACCACAGCCCTTCTCTTGCATAGTATTTATTAAGATAGGATACCTTGAGGAGCCCAGATCACCCCTTGTGCACTACCTGCCCATTAAAGCAATACTGAAGAGAGAAAACAACTGCACAAACAGTAGATTTTGACAAGCAATCCACCAAGACTCTGTCCCCCTGCTCCTGTGAGTGTGTGATGTGCAGCATCCTGGACCACGCTGCTCTTTCAGAGGTGCTTGTCTCTGGGCTGCACTAATCATCTCTGCAAGATGCTCCAAAAGCATCTTTCAAACCAAACTTTCCCTAGTGGTTATTAAGCTCTGGCTCCAATAAATGGAAGCATTTGATTCTGATGCTTGCACAGCTGTAGGAAAACAATCCATCTGGTTTGGTTAAAAATCAGTCAGTTCTGTGCAACCTTTGAAAACTGTAAGTTTGATGTTTACAGGGGGAGGTTTTTTTTTTTTAATTATATTTTACAACTTACTCTGTCACTCCTTTGAATTGAAGGAGAACTTGCTGTCATGCAAACTGGTGGAGAGTGTTAGACCAGCAGGAGCCTGGAAATGGGAGAAGTCCCACTGTGTGACGTCTCGACAGCTGGAAATGGTTACACCCACCAACTGCTGCACTGCCTCCTCCAGCACTGCCAAGTGCTTCAGGCAGATTTGTATCAAAAATAGAAAAACATTGGCTACAAATATCATTTGTTCCCAGTCTTGTTTAATGCCTTTATCTGTGATGTGGATGAGGGGATCGAGGCACCCGCAGGACGTTTGCAGATGACAGCAAGTTGAGCAGGAGGTCGATGTGCTTGAGGGTCAGGAGGCTCTGCAGGGGGATCTGGCCAGGTTGGATTGATGGGCCAAGGTCAGTTGGATGAGGATCAACAAGGGCTGAACGTGAGCCAGTGTGTGACCATCCTGGCCTACATCAAAAATAGTGTGTCCAGGAGGATGAGGGAAGTGATTGTGCCCCTGAAATGGGCACTGGGGTATGAGGAGGAATTTCTTTCCTGACAGAGTGGTGAGGCACTGGCCCAGGCTGCCCAGGGAGGTGGTGGAGTCCCCATCCCTGGAGGGGTTCAAAAAACATGTGGCCGTGGCATTTTGGGACATGGTTTAGTAGTCATGGCAGTTTTGGGTTGATGGTTGGACCTGATGACCCTTGAGGTCTTTTCCAACCTTAATGACCCTCAAATTCTAAACGAAATTGGTAAAAGTAAATACAAGTTTACTAGTAATCCTTACCAATAAGCTTCTTTATTCTTCATCTTTCATATTTTACTTTTAGAAGCATATTTAAAGCTCAGTTTAGGGAGAGAGACCTGCCAAGCATCTGGCACACTTCCTGCTGCGTCACCCTCGGAGCGGGAGGGAGAACAATCTGCATCTGATTTGTACGTTTGAAACACAGAGGAACTGTCAAAGTAATCCAAAAAAGCAAACATCTTTTTATTGTAGAATACTGCCAGAAGAGAAATGGGGCTGTTTCACTCAAATGCCTTCTGAGGACACAGGTTATGGCGTTGATGCGTGACAGCCCATTAGGAGCAGGGGCCACCTCCGTGTTCGATGTGCAGGATGGCTTGTGTGCCTCTTCATTCACCAGATGTTCCCAGAAGAGCCTCTTCCTCCACAGCCCAGGTCCCAGCTAGGCTCCTGGCTTGGATCCCCGTGTCTGCTGCACCACCTTAAACCGCATGGAGAGGAACTCGCTTATCCCGGCCTCGATCTCGTCGTTGGCCTCCACGGACCCAACCCCTTCGGGGGACCCTGTCAGAATCAAATCCCCTTCTTCCAGGGTGACTATTTCGCTGATGTAGCTGATCAGATAAGGGATGGAGAAGATCATGGAAGAGGTCTCCCCCTCCTGCCGCAGCTTTCCATTCACCTTGAGCCAGATCTTCAGCTTGTGGGGGTCCGGGATCTTCTCCTTGGGCACAAAGTCACTGACCGGGCACGACGAAGTGAAGCCCTTGGCCAAGGTCCAGGGCAGACCCTTCTTCTTGCACTCCTCCTGGGTGTCCCTGGCCGTCATGTCCAAGCAGAGGGCATAACCTGCCACGTGCTCCATGGCAGCCTCCTGGGCCACGGCCTGGGCCCTCTTCCCGATCACCACCCCCAGCTCCACCTCGTGGTGCAGGTTGGAGCAGTAGTAGGGCCGGAGGATGGGCGACCCTTCCCGCACGTAGGCCGAGGAAGGCTTGAGGAAGAAGAGGGGCTCCCGGGGCAGGGCGCTCCCCATCTCCTTGGCGTGCTCGGCGTAGTTGCGCCCCACGCAGACGATGTTCTTGCCCCACTCCCAGAAGCGGGACAGCGGCTTGGAGGAGGCCATGGCGGCGGGGCTGCCTCCGCGGGCCCGGGATGGG